GGTTCAAGGCTGCAGTGAGCTATAATTGTGCCACTGTACTCCAGCCTGGGTGACGGAGCACGACCCAGTCTCTTAAAAATAAAAAATAAAAAAACTACCAGCAATCTGACTTCTGGATATATGTCCAAACTACTCCCATGCTTATTGCAGTATTATTCACAATAGCCAAGATATGGAATCAAACTGTCAGTGGATAAGTGAATAAGGAAAATGTGGTATATTTGGAATACTATTCAGCCTTTAAAAAGGAAATTCTGCCATTTGCAACAGCATGGATGGAAAGGGAGGACACTATGCTAAGTGAAAGAAGCCAGTCACAGGAAGACAAATGCTGTATGATCTCACTTATAAGTGGAATCTAAAAAAGCAGAACTCATTGAAGTAGAGAGTAGAATGGTAGTTACCGCATGCTAGGGAAGGGAGTGAGGAATGAGAAGTTTTTCATCAAAGGGCATAAGGTTTCAGTGAGGAGGTTTGAGATCTATTGCATGGCAGAGTGACTACAGTCAATAAAATGTATTGTATATTTCAAAATAGCTGAGCAAATTTCAAATGCCTCACCACAAAAAAATAGGTGAGGAATATGTTAGCTTGATTGAATCATTCCACATTGTGTGTGTGTGCATATGTGTGTGTGTGTATAAAACATCACATCATATACCATTAATGTAAAAATTTTTGATTTATCAATTAAAAGTAGTATTATTAAGTTAAAAAGCTAATGTATTGATGGATTAATATAATTAAAGATAACATTGAAGAGAAAAAGCAGCTAGACAGTATGATATCAGATATAGAAAACATGCAAAATAGAGAATGCAAACATTTGCAGAAAAGAATGCATGGGAATAATATACCCCAAATTCCAGGGAATGGGTACATCAGGAAATGGAAGGGAGTGGGATCATTAAAGATACATAAGGGGCTTTTCTTTTACCTATAGTATTATTTTATATTATTATTTTATTTTAGGCAGGGTTTCCCTCTGTTGCCCAGGCTGGAGTGCAATGGCATTATCACAGTTCACAGCAGTCTCAACCTCCCAGGCTCAAGCGATCCTCCCACTATCAGCCCCTCAAATAGCTGGGACCACAGGTGTGCACCACCATGCTCGGCTAATTTTTGTATTTTTTTGTAGAGATGGGGTTTCGCCATATTGCCCAGGCTGGTCTCAAACTCCTGAGCTCAAGCAATCCTCCTGCTTCGGCCTCCCAAAGTGCTGGGACTACAGGTGTGAGCCACTGCTCCTGGCCTGTATTTTATTTCTTAACCTAGGTGGTCAATAGTATGAATACTTAGTTTATTCAGATTTCTGCACCTGAAATATTCATAATTCTAAAAAATACTCTTTCTAGAAACCAATACTTTGAGGAAGGTTGAAGGAGTTAGATACTGTTAGCCTAGGATTGCCATTTTCAAATATTTGAAGGAACATGAATAAGAAAAAGGTATTCTGCTTTGCTAATGCATATGTGCAAGCATTTGTTAACTATAGGCCACATATATATTGCCGTCACTGTTTCAGAAGACAGAATTACGACAAATGGGAACAAACTACAAGGAGGAAGGTAGATTTGGGCTCAATAGACAGAGACATGTTGAACAAAGAGGCAGCACAGTGTCAGAGATGAGAGTAAGACAGTTTGGAGCCAGCCTTCCTGGGTTCAGTGCTTGGCTCTGCTCTTTGCAGGCAGTATGACTTGGGGCAAATTATTTTATTTTTTATTATTATTTTTTTTTAGACGGAGTTTCACTCATGTTACCCAGGCTGGAGTGCAATGGCGCGATCTCGGCTCACTGCAACCTCCGCCTCCTGGGTTCAGGCAATTCTCCTGCCTCAGCCTCCTGAGTAGCTGGGATTACAGGCACGCACCACCATGCCCAGCTAATTTTTTGTATTTTTAGTAGAGACAGGGTTTCACCATGTTGACCAGGATGGTCTCGATCTCTTGACCTTGTGATCCACCCGCCTCGGCCTCCCAAAGTGCTGGGATTACAGGCTTGAGCCACCACGCCCGGCCTTGGGGAAAATTATTTAACCTCTCTGTGCCTGTTTCCCATTCTGTAAAATGGGAATAAGATAGAGTGCCTACCTTGTAGGCTAGAATAAGGATTAAATGGTTATTTATAAAGTGCTTAGAACAGTGCCTGATATATAACAAACACTATATAAATGTTCATAAAATAAACCTAACAAAGAATCTAGCAGTTAAAGAGCCTGACTTGAAAAGCAGCAAACTCTTTAAGGGCTCATGCAACGGCTGGATAACTCTCTTAAGGATGGTGCAGGGGTATCCTTCTCTTCTAGTTTAGAGATGTATGCTTCTTAAACTTAAATATGCACAGAAACCACACAGGGATATTAACATGCAAATTCTAAGCCAGTGAGCCTGAGGTGGGATCTGAGGTTCTTTATTTTTAACAAGTGCCAATGCTACCGTTCTCCACAGGGCCATACTTTGAGTAGCAAAGCTCTAGATGGCTTTATCCCTACTGTCATACATCACAATTTCAAAGATGCTTAGTTTTTGTTGTTGTTTGTGAGACCGAATCTTACTCTGTCACCCAGGCTGGAGTGCAGTAGCCCAATCTTGCTCACTGCAACCTCTGCCTCTTGGGTTCAAACAATTCTCCTGCCTCAGCCTCCCGAGTAGCTGAGATTACAGGCACATGCCACCACACCCAGTTACATTTTTTGTATTTTCAGTAGAGACAGGGTTTCGCCATGTTGGCCAGGCTGGTCTCAAACTCCTGACCTCAAGTGATCAACCCACCTCAGCCTCCCAAGTGCTGAGATTATAGACGTGAGCCACTGTGCTCAGCCTCAAAGATGCTTAGTTCTTATCTCTGATGAATTATCAATTTGCAGCAAATTCTAAATACAGTTTTCTCTCAAAACCAACTTTTGGCCCCATAATTAACCAACAATAGTTTGATTACTAAAACCACTAAAGGACTAAGATTTTTATTTTATTTTTGTAGAGATAGAGTTTTGCCATATTGCTGGGGCTGTCTTGAACTCCTGGACTCAAGTGATCCTCCTACCTCGGCCTCCCAAAGTGCTGGGATTAAAAGCATGAGCCACTGTGCCTAAGGACTAAGTCTAGGACTAAGAATGTATAGGAGGTTTGGGGTGGTGATGTTTTATATAAATATATATATTTCCATAATGCACATAATTACTTTTTTTTTTTTAAGACATGGAGTCTTGCCCTGTCACCCAGGCTGGAGTGCAGAGGAGCAATCATAGCTCACTACAGTCTTTAACTCCTGACCCCAAGCAACCCTTCCACCTTAGCCTCCAGAATTGCTGGAATTATTAATACAAGAGGGACTCACCGAGCCTGGCAATAGTTACAATTTTTATATTAAATTCAGATTTTTGTCATTTGGATTTTCTTTTTCTTTTTTTTTTTTTTTTTTGAGACGGAGTTTCACTCTTGTTGCCCAGGCTAGAGTGCAGTGGCACAATCTCAGCTCACCACAACCTCCGCCTCCTGGGTTCAAGTGATTCTCCTGCCTCAGCCTTTCAAGCAGCTGGGTTAAGACATGCGCCACCATGCCTGACTAATTTTGTATTTTTAGTAGAGATGGGGTTTCTCCATGTTGATCAGGCCGGTCTTGTACTCTTGACCACAGGTGATCCACCCGCCTCAGCCTCCCAAAGTGCTGGGATTACAGGCATGAGCCACTGTGCCCAGCCCTTGGATTTTCTTAAAGCAGAAACATCCATATGAGAAAGAAAAATAGTAAACTATAAGGGAGGCAACTCCTGCACTGCTTGGGAATCTACACTAGAGTCTGCATTTGATGTAATAGAGAAGAGGATGCCACTCTAGATTCCAGAGCAAGGAAGTGAGAGAAGAAAAACCATGTTTGGGAGCAGGATACATTGGAAAGGAGAATGTCAGGGCTCGAAACACAAAATACAGAACTGAAAATTTTGTTAAAGTGTGGATGTACGGTTCTGAGAGCTGCTAATGAGGAAGACCAGTGGGGCTAACATTTTAGAATATATTAATTCAACAATAAGCTGAAGTAGCAAATTAGACTTCAGTGGACTCTGTTGAATCTTACTGGGCTCCAGTGGGAGCCTCAACCATTTGATATAGATACAACTGGACCTCCAGGTACAGTGTGAAATATGAGTATGTTCTGAAACAGATCTTCAACACCGTGATTCAGAACAGAAACCCCTAGTATGGTTTGCTACTTTGGGGATGGTTGGTGTGAGTTCCGGTGACTTGGTCTAAATTATACTCCACTCTTTATTTCCTTCAGGAGATCTTCATTGATTATAGTTGACTGAGAACCATTGGGATCCCAGAGTTTAAGGCTTGGCTATATATAGGCATTGAATCTTATGGCTACTATGTACCTACTGTTTTGGAGCTTTGGCCACAAAGTAGTTCATGGTTATTCAACATAAAGCTATCGGAGGCTGGGCATGGCGGCTGATGCTTATAATCCCAGTACTTTAAGGGGCCAAGGCAGGAGGGTCACTTCAGCCCAGGAGTATAAGACCAGCATGGGCAGCCTAGCCTCTAAATTTACAAAAAAAAAAAAAAAAAAAAAATGGTGGCACATGCCTGTAGTCTCAGCTACCTGGGGAGGATCACCTGAACCCAAGAGTTGGAGGCTGCAGCGAGCTATGATCACACCACTGACAGCACTCCAGTCTGGGCAACAGAGAAAGGCCCTGTCTCAAAAACAGTTTTAAGCTATGAACCAAATTCTGCTGCTGCCCCTAGGGGCACAATTTGCAAGTATCCTTAGATCTGAAATAGCCACTGAGTGGAGAGAAAGTGAAGAGGCAGTGAACAGTACCTTGTATTTCATTGCTCCTCCACTTGTCTAGGTCAAAGTGGAATTTCCTAGTCTGTGTTTTTTAAAAGTAGAACATAAGAGAAGTCAGGGAGAGACAGGAGAAATAGGGATTCAAGCAGATAATTCTAGAGTTTTCTTTAAAATTGAGTTACTTTTAATAGTTTTTTACACACCACCACTGCACAGTGGTTGTATTTAGGATGTTTCCAGAAAATTGGGGAAATATAAAGAGTGAGGTCCAATTTAGTGAGTGGGTAATGAATATCCGTTCTCAGCTTCCTTTTCATTGTACCCTGACTGTCAAACCTGCAGGAATAATACGTGTGTAAAATACAAAGCTTGTGAACCACTCATTAATAAACTCTACATGACAAATTCCAAGTATTTTAAAAGTAATTTCTTGGCTGTGCACAGTGGCTCATGCCTGTAATCCCAGCACTTTGGGAGGCCAATGTGGGTGAATCCCTTGAGCATAGAAGTTTGGGACCAGCCTGAGCAAATGGCAAAACTCCTTCTCTACATAGCTTTTTTTTTTTTTTTTTTCATCTTTTCTTTCTACATAGAATTCTTAACCTGTAGTCCCAGACAGTCAGAAGGCTAAGGTAGGAGGATCGCCTGAGTGTAGGGAGGTTGAGGCTGCAGTGAGCTGTGGTCCAGCACTGCACTCCAGCCTGGCTGACAGAGTGGGACCCTGTTTCTAAAAAAAAAGTAATTTCTTACCAGGCACAGTGGCTCACATCTGTAATCCTAGTACTTTGGGAGGCTGAGGTGGGTGGATCACTTGATGTCAGAAGATTGAAACCAGTCTGGCCAACATGGTGAAACATCATCTCTACTAAATATTGAAAAAAGATTAGCTGGGTATGGTGGTGGATGCCTGAAATCCCAACTACTCAGGAGGCTGAGGCCAGAGAATCACTTGAACCTGGGAAGCGGAGGTTGCAGTGAACCAAGACAGCACTGCTGCACTTCTGCCTGGGTGACAGATCACTTGATGTCAGGAGATCGAGATCATCCTAGCTAACACGGTGAAACCCCATCTCTACTAAAAATACAAAAATTTAGCCAGGTATGGTGGTGGACACTTGTAGTCCGAGCTACTCAGGAGGCTGAGGCAGAAGAATAGCTTGAACCCGGGAGGCAGAGGTTGCAGTGAGCCAAGATTGCACCACTATACTCCAGCCTAGGCAACAGAGTGAGACTCCATCTCAAAAATAATAAAAATAATAATTTCTTGGAAAGATTGATACAGACTTATAGGTAAATTACCTTTTTCTTATCTGTTTAAATACCATATCCACAAGCATCACCAAAATGAGACTGGAATTTTAATCAGGCAGTGAGATCATAAAGATTCAAGCTAAACTAAATCTATTGGGGCAAAAAGAAAGGAACATCCAAGGCACAGCACTGGGGGAAGAGGAAACCCAACTGATAATTCCTGAGGCTTTTGCTCCAGCTGAGACTATTTATTCTAAACAGGCTGGCTCAGCTTTTCCTTATCTTGATTTCAGCACAGGTAGTCTTGGCAATGTCCTGTTTTCAAGCTGAGGGTTGTTTTTTTTTTTTAATGTTTTAATAAGAACATTTTGTGAAAAATCTTTAACATTCTGTATTGTTACATAGATCTTAAGTTCGCAAATCTGGGCTCACATCAGAGTTACTCAGAAGTTTAAAAAAAATTATGTTCATTTTGGAAAAACAGCTGATGTAGGTCTGAGGCTGGGAAATTACTGAGACCGAGACATTCATGTGCCAAAAAGCAAAATACCTTATTTGCAAAAACTAAGGGAATGCCATGTGAACATGCAATTCTATACCTAAGTCTCATCCCAAGAGAAATGAAGACTTAGGCCCACATAACAAGCTATCTGCTAGTGTTTGTAGAAGCTGTATTCCTAACTACTCAAAACTATAAACAACCCAAACGTCCATCAACTGGTGGAGACATAAACAACTATGGTATACTCACAAAAAGGAATAGCACACAGCAATAAAAAAGGAACCTAATGCGTGCAACAACACGTATCTCAAAAGCATCACGCTAAGTGAAAGAAAAACGCTAAAAGCTACACACAGTATGACATAGCACATTCTGGAAAACACAATTATAGGGATGGAAATCAGATTAGCAATTTCTATAGGCTTAGGGTTGGGGAGAAGAGTGACTAGAAAGGAACATGAGAGACCTTTTTGGAGTGATGGAAATGGTCTATATGTTGGTTGTAATGATTACATGACTGCATACCTTTGTCAGAATTCATAGAACTGTGCACCTAAAAAGAATACATTTTGTGTAAGCATACCACAATAAACTAACTAATGGGGGTCCCAGAAGCTGACTTGCAGGGGCTCCCACTCGCCAATTTTGAACAATTTGAACACCAAAAGCAATGACGAGAGACGTCTGGTTTTCAGTTCTACCAGTAAGGAAACTTGGAAGTCACCATTCTGTCCTAACAAGAAGTTAATAGCTAAAAATAGCTTTTGGTTATTTTCCTTCCTCCTGGGAGGAAAGAATTAACTGAAATAAAAATAAACAGCTCTTCTTAGATCTGAAAGAGCAGTGAGGTCACAGGACAAACCACCACCCCCAAAACTGGAAAAACAGACCAGCAAACATAGAGAATCACAAACTTACGAGAGCCAAAACTGCGGAGCAGAAACTTCTGAGGGAACAGGTCTGCATAGGAAAACCCGAATTGCGGAATTGCTGGAGGCTCAGTACAGAGTCTGAGAGTTAAAAATTTCAAGGAACCCAGTCACAGGGGGGCCCACACTTTGTGAGTTTTCTTTCCAGGAGCCCAACCACACTGTTACGGTAAATATTAGAGACAAATATTCTCATGCTTCGGGCAGGAAGAAGGGAAAGAAAGCATTCTGAAATACGCTAGAGCAGCCTCTTCTTAACAACGCCTGCCCACAGGAGAAACTCATCAACCAGAGCCTAGCCTGCTGGGGTTTTATCAGCGCTTAACTAATCTGGGGGAAGGAAAATACGCAACTCCAGCCCACTCTAACCATCCTGTTCCACCAAAGGGGGTGTGGAGGGACTGAGGAGCACTTACGAAGTTCGGAGTCTGGAGGCATAGTTTCATTCAAAGACTGAGACCTCTCACACCTATAATCCTAGCACTTTGGGAGGCTGACGGGGGCAGATCATGAGGTCAGGAGATCGAGACCATCCTGGCCAACATGATGAAACCCGTCTCCACTAAAAATAATAATAAAAAAATTAGCTGAGCATGGCGGCGAGTGCCTGTAATCGCAGCTACTCGGGAGGCTCAGGCAGGAAAATCACTTGAACCAGAGAGTTGGAGGTTGCAGTGAGCCGAGATTGCACCACTGCACTCCAGCCTGGCAACAGAGTGAGACTGCGTCTAAAAAAAAAAGACTGAGACTCACTGACAGAATTACAGAATGCTTCCCCTCCCACTCTGCCTTACACCATGTCATTAAGGTCTATTTACGTCAGGTTCTCTTACCCAGTTCATCATATCTGGCTATCAGGAAAAAATATAAGGTATACTAAAAAGCAGAAGCAGAGTTTGAAGAGACAGTAAGCATCAGAACCAGATAGGGTGTGGGAATTATCAGACTGAGAATTTAAAACTGATTAACACACTAAGGGTTCTAATGAATAAAACATGCAAGAATATATGGTCAATGTAAGCAGAGACTTGGAAATCCTAAGAATGAACCAAAAGAAATGCTAGAGGGATCCTTGTTAGTATAGCGGTTACTTTAAATAAATAAAAAAAAATGCTAGAGGTATCCTTGTTGGTATAGCGGTTAGTTTTTTTTTTGTTTTTTTTTTGTTTTTTTTTTTGTTTTTAAAGCTAGATGTAAAAAAACACTAACACATGAAGAATGCCTCTGATGGGCTTATTAGTAGACTGGACACAGCTGAAGAAAGAATTTCTACTGAGCTTGAGGCACCTCAGCAGAAACCTTTACAACTGAAACGAAGAAAGAAAAGGGACTGGCCGGGCTAAGTGGCTCACACCTGTGTTCCCAGCACTTTGGTAGGCCAAGGTGGGAGGATCGCTTGAGCCCAGGAGTTCGAGACCAGCTTGGGCAACAAAGTCAGAGTGCCCCTACCCCACCCCCAATCTCTACTAAAAAAGAAAAAAGAAAGAAACTAGACTGGAAAAAAAGCGCAACAACATCCAAGGACTGTGGGGCCACTACAAAGATGTAACATCTGCATAATGGAAATGCCAAAAGGAAAAGAAAGAGGACAGAAAAAAACATTTAAACAATAATGACTCAATTTCCCCAAATTAATGCCATACACCAAACCACAGATTCAGGAAGCTCAGAGAACACCAAGAAAGATAAATGGCAGAAAAATGATACATAGGCATTTAATTTTCAAACTGTGGAATATCAAAGATAGAGAAAAAAATCCTAAAAGAAGCCAGAGTGGGAGTCAGGAAAAACCACGCCTCTAGAGGAGCAAACATAAGAATTACAACTAACTTCTCAGAAACCATGCAAACAAGAAAGTGGGATAAAATACTGAAGGTGTTAAAAGGAAAAAACCCACCAGACTAGAATTCTGTACCCTGTAAAATTAACCTTCAAAAGTGAAGAGAAATAAAGACTTCACTGGACAAATAAAAATTGAGGGAAATTGTTGCCAGTAGACCTGCCTTACAAGAAATGTTCAAAGAGGCCAGCCACGGTGGCTGACGCCTGTTTAATTCCAGCAGTTTGGGAGGCCGGGGTGGGTGAATCACTTGAGGTGAGGAGTTCAAAATCAGCCTGGCCAACATGGTGAAACCCTGTCTCTACCAAAAATACAAAATTAGCCTGGCATAGTAGTGCAGGCCTGTAGTCCCAGCTACTCTGGCTGTTGAGACAGGAGAATTGCTTGAACCCAGGAGGCAGAAGTTGCAGTGAGCCGAGATCACACCACTGCCCTCCAGGCTGGGTGACAAAGTGAGACTCCATCTCAAAAAAAAAGAAAGAAAAGAAATTTTAAAAGAAATTCTTTACAGAGAAGGAAAATGATATAGGCCAAACACTTGGATCTACATAAAGAGCACTGAAGAAGGAATAAATGAGGGTAAAATTAAAATGTTTATTTTTATTATTAATTAATCTAACATAACAGTTTACTCAAAACAATAATAGCAACAATATATTCAATTGCATATCCTTATGTATATATCATATATATTCTTTTTTTTTTTTTTGAGATGGAGTTTCGCTCTTGTTCCGCAGGCTGGAGTGCAATGGCGTGATCTCGGCTCACCGCAACCTCCACCTCCTGGGTTCAGGCAATTCTCCTGCCTCAGCGTCCTGAGTAGCTGGGATTACAGGCAGGCGCCACCATGCCCAGCTGATTTTTTGTATTTTTAGTAGAGACAGGGTTTCACCATGTTGATCAGGATGGTCTCGATCTCTTGACCTCGTGATCCACCCGCCTCGGCCTCCCAAAGTGCTGGGATTACAGGCGTGAGCCACCATGCCCGGCCATATTCTTGTATATCTTTATATATAAGTGAAAAGAATAACAGCAATGATACAAGGGAAGCAGCATGGTGTTATTTGAAAGTGGACATAGATTAGTTGTAAATGAATATTGCAAACTCTAGGGCGACCACTAAAAAGAATTTTTTTTTTTTTTTGAGACAGAGTTTCTCTCTTGTTGCCCAGGCTGGAGTTCAATGGCGAGATCTTGGCTCACTGCAACCTCCACCTCCTGGGTTCAAGCAATTCTCCTACCTCATCCTCCTGACTAGCTGAGATTACAGGCATGCACTACCACACCTGGTTAATTTTTTATTTTTAGTAGAGATGGGGTTTCTCCATGTTGGTCAGGCTGGTTTTGAACTCCCCACCTCAGGTGATCCACCTGCCTCGGCCTCCCAAAGTACTGGGATTATGGGCATGAACCACTGTGCCCAGCATCTAAAAAATGTTTTAAAAAATATAACTGATTTGGTAATAAAGGAGAGAAAATGGAGTCTCATAAGATGCTCAGTTAAAACCACAAAAAGCAGGAAAAGAGTGGTAGATAAAAATAGAAACACAAAGAACAAGGGCAACAAATAGAAAGCAGTAACAAATATGACAGATATTTAACCCAACAGCATCAATAATCACTTGGAATGTCAATGGTCTATATACATTAATTAAAAGACAGATTGTCACAGTGAATCAAAAACAAAACTCAATTATATATTATGTACAAGAAACATACTTAAAATATAAAGACACACAGAGACTAAAAGTAAACAGATGGAGAAAAATATACCATCCTACCACTAAGAAAGTGGGAGTAGCTATATTAATTTCAGACAGAGAAGTCTTCAAAGCAAAGAAAGTGATTGAGGTTAAAAAGGGCCATACATAACGATAAAGGGATCAATTTTTCAAGAAGACACAGAAATGCTTAATGTGTATGCACCTAACAACACAGTGTCAAAATACATGAGGTAAAACTGGCTAGGCTTAGTGGCTCATGCCTGTAATCCCAACACTTTGAGAGGCCAAGGCAGGCAGGTCACTTGAGATTAGGACTTCAAGCCCAGCCTGACCAACATGGTGAAACCCTGTCTCTACTAAAAATACAAAAATTATTGTCCCAGCTACTCGGGAGGCTGAGACACAAGAATTGCTTGAACCCAGGAGGCAGAGGCTGCAGTGAGCAAAGACTGCAGCACTGTACTCCAGCCTGAGTGACAGAGCAAAACTCTGTCTCACCAAAAACAAACAGCAAAAAAGGAAAAATTGATAGAACTGCAAGGAGAAATAGACGAATCCACTTTTATAGTTGGAGATATCAACACACCTCAGTCAGAAATGGACAGATGCAGCAGGCAGAAAATTACTAAGGACATAAACTCAATAACACCATCTGTCCATAGAAATAACTGACATCTATAGACTCTTTCACCCAACAACAGCAGAATATATATTATTTTCAAACTCACATGGAACATTCACCAAACCTCCAGCTAGGCTAAATAAGAATAACTTAGACCTTCTGGCCTAAGGTGTGCTTGTTAAAACACACTTTAACAAATTTAAAATAATAGAAAGTATATAATCTCTGCTCTCAGATCACAGTGGAATTAAACTAAAAAGGAAAAACAGAAAGATATCTAGGAAATCCCAAAATACATGGAGATTAAACAACATGCTTCTAAATAACACAAGTCAAAGAAGATATCTTGAAAGAAATTTCAAAATGGGCTGGGCACAGTAATCCCAGCACTTTGGGAAGCCAAGGTAGGCGATTCTCTTTAGCCCAAGAGTTCAAGGCAACATAATGAGTCATCATCTCTACAAAATAATTTAAGAAATTAGCTGGGCATGGTGTCTTACACCTATAGTCCTAGCTACATACCTTTATCCCAGGTATGCAAGGCTGGTCCAACATTGGAAAAATTAATGAAATCTATCATATAATTAGGTTAAAGGGGGAAAAAATCACACACACAAATCAACAGACACAGAAAAAGTGTCTGACAAAATCCAACACCCATCAAGATAAAAATACTCAGTAAACTAAGAATAAAGGAGAACTTCTTCAACTTAATAAAGAATCTCTACAAATAATCCACAGCTAACATCATACTTAATGGTGAGTAAGTAGAAGCTTTCCCACTACAATCAGGAAGAAGACAAGGATGTCCCTCTCACCACTACTTTTCAACATTGTATTAGAAGTCCTAGCTAAAATAAGACAAGAAAATAAAAGGTATACAGATAGGGAAGTAAGAAGTAAAACTGTCTTTGTCTACAGATGACACGATTGTGTATGTTGAAAATCTGAAGGAATCAACAAAAAAATCTCCTGGAAATAATAACAATTAAAGCAAGATTGTAGAATACAAGATTAATATTGAGAAAGCATATTACTCATCAGCTTTAAACAAATGGAATTTGAAATTAAAAACATGGCTGGGCACAGTGGCTCATGCCTGTAATGCCAGCACTTAGGGAGGCTGAGGCGGGCGGATCATCTGAGGTCAGGAGTTTAAGATCAGTCTGGCCAACATGATGAAACCCCGTCTCTACTAAAAATACAAAAATTAATTGGGTGTGGTGGTGCATGCCTGTACTCCCAGCTACTCAGGAGGCTGAGGCAGGAGAATTGCTTGAACCTGGGAGGCAGAGGTTGCAGTGAGCTGAGATTGTGCCACTGCACTCCAGCCTGGGCAACAGAGCAAGACACCATCTAAAAAAAAAAAAAAAAAAATTAAAATTAATTTTAAAAAACACAATACCCTTCACATTAGCACCCTCAAAAATGAGATAGTTATAAAATTAACAAACTATGTACAAGACCTATAGCAGTAAAACTAGAAAATTCTCATGAAAGCAATCCAAGAAGAATCTAAACAGAGAGATACAGTCTATATTCACGGATAAGAAGCTTCCATATTGTCCAGTTGTTAGTTCTTCCCAACTTGATCTGTAAATACAATGCAACCCCAGTCAAAATCCCAGTAACTTATTTTGTGGATATTGACAGAATGATTCTAAAGTTTATGTGGTGAGGTAAAAGATTCAGAGTAGCCAAAACTATACTGAAGGAAAACACAATCGGACTGACGTTACCAAACTTCAGAACTTATTTTACAACCAGAATAGTCAAGACAGTGTGATATTGGTGAAAACAAAATAGAAAAATAATGTTATAGACTCGAGAGCTCAGAAATAGACTCACATAGATATAATCAGCTGATCTTTGACAAAGGAGCAAAGGTAATATACAATGGAGAAAAGATAACCTTTTTCAACAAATGGTGTTGGGACAGCTGGATATCTATGTGAAAAAAAAATCCACACACGGGCAAACCTTACACCCTTCACAAAAATTAACTCAAAATAGATCACAGACCAAAATGTAGAACAAAAAACTGCAAAATTCCTGGAAGATAACACTGGAGAAAATCTAGATGATCTTATGTTTGGCCATGACTTTTTAGATGCAACACCAAAGGCCTACTTTACAAAAGAATTGATAAGCTTAACTTCATTAAAGTCAAAATTTCCTGTTGTACAAAACACTGTTGAGAGAATAAAAAACCAGCATGAACAGAAAAAAAAAAAAAAAAAAAAAAAGACACATCTGGTAAAGAACTGCTCTTGAAAATGCAAGAAATCTGGCCAGGCACAGTGTCTCATGCTTATAATCCAAGGACTTTGGGAAACTAAGGGATGCAGATCACCTGAACTCAGGAGTTTGAGACCAGCCTGGGCAACATGGTGAAAACCTGTCTCCACAAAAAAAAAAAAAAAGAAAAAAAAGTAGCTGGGTGTAGTGGTGGGTGCCTGTAGTCCCAGCTACTCAGGAGGCTGAGGCAAGAGTATGGCTCAAACCAGGGAAGCAGAGGCTGCAAGAGCTCAGATTGCACCACTGCACTCCAGCCTCGGCAATAAAGCGAGACTCTGTTTAAAACAAAAAAAAGAAAAGAAAGAAAGAAAAGAAAATATACAAGCAATCTTATAAAACTCAACAATTAGAAAATCTACAACCCAATTTTTAAAATAGGCCAAAGACCTTAACAGACCTTTACCGAAGTATCTTACCAGCGGCCGGGGGAGCAGGAATGTGTGTTACTAAAGGTTACAGAGTTTCTGTTTGGGTGATGAAGAAGTTTTGGAAATGGTGATGATTGTTGCACAACATTGTGAATAAATAATGCCAATGAATTGTACGCTTAGAATTGCTAAAATGGCAAACTTTTTGTTATACTGTATATATTTTATCATATTTTAAATAATAATGTAATATACCAAGTATTATTGAATTGTACACTCTAAATGGGTGAATTATTGGCATGTGAATTATGTTTCTATAAGGCTGTTCAAAAATATGTGCCCACAAAATGTAAAAATCCATACCTTTATTTTTTATTTTTTTTATTATCAGTCTCTGTAGAGACTGTCAAAAATTGCCAGTGCAATTTTTCAATTAGCAATAGTTGAAAAGTTTTCAATTAGCAATAATTGCGCCTCGGATAAACCTCATTGGCTATGATACTGCCACTGTACAAAGCTAAAAAAATCCATGCCTTTTTAGGTGAAAAACAATTATTTTTGGTGCTTTGGAAATACTGGCCCTCACGGCAGTTTCTTGCTTGGTTTCACAAAAGGAGCAGTGAATTTGGTTGTTTCAGGTTAGTGTGTCCTGTTGAAAAAACATTGGAGATAGTCCTGTTATGGAAAAAAAGGATTTGGTGACCAAATTGGATCAACCACAGCCTGCACTCTCTGTTTCTATTGGAATTTTGCAAATGCTGTGGAAATGTAATCCTCAGTGCTTTTCTCAAAGTCAACAAGTCCAGAAGATAACAGTCTCACTAGCTGGAGCTGGTTACCCATAAGTCCACCTAGAAAGTGTTTCTTTCTCGTTACTGAAATGCAGTTGAGTGCCTACCTCACTTATAATCTATACATCAGCATTTTTTTTTTTTTTGAGATGGAGTCTCGCTTTGTCACCCAGGCTGGAGTGCAGTGGCACAATCTTGGCTCACGGCAACCTCCACCTACCAGTTCAAGCAATTCTCCTGCCTCAGCCTCCTGAGAAGTTGGGACTACAGGCGAGCACCACCACACCCAGCTCATTTTTATATTTTTAGTAGAGATGGGGCTAGGCTGGCCTCAAACTCCTGGCCTCCAGTGATTCTGCCCGCCTCAGCCTCCCAAAGTGCTAGGATTACAGGTGTGAGCCACCATGCCCAGCCTATAAATCAGCATTTTTAACTTTTCTGTTTTTTTCAGAATACTACTGACTTTGCAATTTTCATGAGTGAAATCAGGCAGCTGTTTTATGACATTCATATCATTGCTAAAGTGATCTGGTGACAAAAATGACTCTCAGGGTTTGGGGGTGGCCCATAATAAAGACAGCAGAACAGAGATAAATTAGATCCGATATACACAGGAGATATCCCCAATGTGGCTAGGTGTTTGGTTCTGCAAACGATTAACTGGAAGAAGAAGTGAGCACAGATTTTGTTTGCAGCGGAGCCATTAGCACTTTACTTGAGTATGTGGAATTTCTTTCCAGCAATCTTTAGCAGTTTGAGCTGAGAAATAAAGCCCAGTGCTGAATAAGTAATAGGATTCTATTCTCCAATTCTGGTAAGTGAAACTTTCAGCAATAGATGTGCTATTATAATTTAGGAAGAAAAAATACACATTTGTATAATTCTGCAAGAAAACTTTTTTGGTGTCTGCCCCTTGTTTACTCCTTATTGCTGCCTGCCTTCTACTGCCACCCACCCCATGCCCACATCCCCACTTACAGATGAACTTTTGGCATTACGGTGAAGAAAATTCCAGAGGTAAACCAAGGCACTAGATTCCATTTTCTCTTTCCAAAACATTTCACAGCTTTAGTCCAAAAAATAAGAGCTCAAGACTAAGAGTCTAGAATTTTTTTTTTTTTTTTTTTTTTTTTTTTTATGGAGTCTTGTTCTGTTGCCAGGCTGGAGTGCAATATGCAATCTCAGCTTACTGCAACCTCCCCCTCCTGGGTTCAAGCAATTCTCCTGCCTCAGCCTCCCGAGTAGCTGGGACTACAGGCACGTGCCACCATGCTCAGCTACTTTTTGTATTTTTAGTAGAGACGGGGTTTCACCATGTTGGCCAGGATGGTCTTGATCTCTTGACCTTGTGATCCACCTGTCTTGGCCTCCCAAAGTGCTGGGATTGCGAACATGAGCCACTGCGCCTGGCCTGAGTCTAGAATGTTTTATAGCTAGTTCCCAGTCTGGGCCTTACAGACCCCTCTGGGGTGAGGGAGGGTCATAAACTTTTTGGAAAAAATCGTAAATTTCTTATATGCACAAAGCTATTTCAATAGACTGAATAAATCCCACTATATTTCCAGTTTTATAATCAGATATTTTGTTGAGTGCGTTTAAAAATATAATTGAATTCATAGTAACTTTTGGCCAGTACATCCCTAAAAAAAATACCATCATCATGGACTTCCTCTTTATTTCATTTATTTATTTATTTAGGACAGAGACTCACTCTGTCACCCAGGCTGAAGAGCAATGGTACGATCTTGGCTCACTACAACCTCTGCCTCCCGGGTTCAAGCGATTCTTGTGCCTCAGTCTCCCAAGTAGCTGGGATTACAGGTACCTGCCACCATGCCCAACTAATTTTTGTATTTTTAGTAGAGACAGGGTTTCACTGTGTTGGCCAGGGTGGTCTCGAACTCCTGACCTCAGGTGATCTGCCTGCCTTGGCCTCCAAAACTGCTGGGATTACAGGCATGAGCCATCACGTCCAGCCTATTTCTTTTAAAATTAAAGTTATAAAGCCATCTCTCATACTAAACAAATATAGTAAACAGCCCTGAGAAAACCCAGGGCTGAGAGCATAGCAAGACAAAGTGTCCAGGGATCCCGAATTCCTACCTGAAGGGAGCATTCACATTCGGATGGAATGGGGAGTGACAGGAGAGTGAAAACTTCGTTCTTGTAGGTGCATTTCTCACTCTTTAAACATATGATGCGGTAACTGAGCTGCCCTTCAAACAGCCGGGTGACGATGGATGTCTCAGTGGTAATTGACTTCCTGCAGCATCTCTGAGTAGATCCTTTCTCATATGATCTTCTCCAGGGATAGTGGTACTGAATCAAGGAGCAAATTTCACCCAAATCAATTATTGGTTATTTTAAAAAGGTTGTGGCAACATGGTGAGACTCCATCTCTAAAATAAAAACCAAAACATTAGCCAGGCATGGTGGCACATGTCTGTGGTGCCAGCTACTCGGGAGGCTGAGGTTGGAGGATAAGTTGAACCCAGGAGTTCGAGGCTGCAGTGAACTGTGTTGGCGCTATTGCACTCCAGCCTGGGTGGCAGAGCGAGACTATGTTTCAAAAAAAAAAGGTTTCAATAAAATGATTGATTTTTTTTCTATCAGAATAATACATTGCTACCAGAAACCACTTAAGTTTTAGATTCAGACAATAGAGTAAGATATTCTTGAAAGTATATATATATATATATATATATATTATGTGTGATTTCTGATAATTCAGATATTTTCCCTTTAGGTGAAACAGAGGAATGATGACAGCCTAACTCTGGTAAAACATACATTCATGACCCCATAAGCTACCAGCCTTGGGAGCTAGTTTTTCCTGGGAAGGGGGTAAGCAAGCTAAATTCGTGTTACATCACTCAAGCACATCTAAAGGTAAAATATTAAGAAATCCAATCTTTCCTCTCTCCAGTCCCTTCAGGTTACATTCTGTAGCCTTTTATCCTTTAACTTCTAGAAAATACTTTTTTAAAAGAGTAAATCTTGGCCAGGCATGGTGGCTCACGCCTGTAATCCTGGTGCTTTGGGAGGCTGAGGCAGGAGGATCATTTGAGACTAGGAGTTTGAGATCAGATTCGGTAACATAGCAAAATCCAGTCTCTACAGGGTTAATTTTTTTTTAAAAAAAGATAAAAGATAAGACAGCAAATCTTAAATTCCTAAGGCAGCCTGATTGAACTAAACTTGTGGCCTGGTTTGGATCTAGTTCATACTCAGCAACAGCATTTCTGGAGCAAACCCTGAATTTTCAGTGATTTAAGAACCTCAGTAGAAGATATATTTTCAAGATGCATTAGCTCCACAGATCTTGGCTCACTGCAACCTCCGCCTCCTGGGTTCAACGTATTCTTCTGCCTCAGCCTCCCAAGTAGCTGGGACTCTAGGCACCTGCCACCGCTCCTGGCTAATGTTTTTCTTTTTTGTATTTTTAGTAGAGACAGGGTTTCACTATGTTGCCCAGGCTGGTCGTGAACTACTGACCTTGTGATCCACCCGCCTCAGCCTCCAAAGTGCTGGGATTACAGGCATGAGCCACTTCGCATGGCCCATGAATACCTTTTTATAGTATCTTTTTATTACTCAAAACAAAAAACAGAACTGAAGCCTGCAAATGAGAACAATTAATAGCTATAGTTTGCAATCTTTATGCTAACCATTACCTGGACATTAGAGGTGCAATGAGGTAACATTAGCAGAAGAACATTGCATAAAGTCAAGGACACATTTCAGAGAATGTGGGTCTCAGACCAAGGCTAACTGCAGTGAGTTTTGTAAATAAAGGCAAAACCTCTAGAGTAACTGATGATTTCATGTTTAATGAAGTGTATATACTAATTCAGTGATGAACTCGGGTTAGGCATGTTTGGTTTGAGGATGAAACTTTGCAGGGCATAGATCTGTTGCTTAATCTAATATCAAGCTTAATATTTTCATGGATTTGTAAGTCCTAAGAAAATTCAAGCTAAGAACGTTATTCTATATATTATTTAGCTTAAATTTTCTTGGGACCTACAAATCCATGTTATTTCTCATGAGGAATATATTTTGCACTTTTAAAAACTAGTCCAGTCCGGGTACGGTGGCTCATGCCTGTATCCCAGCACTTTGGGAGGCCGAGGTGGGCAGATCACGAGGTCAGGAGTTCAAGACCAGTCTGACCAACATGGTGAAACCCCATCTCTACTAAAAATACAAAAATTAGCCAGGCATGGTGGCAGTAGCCTATAATCTCAGCTCACTTTCTCTCTCAGTTCTGCCTTTCAGGCTGAGGCAGAACTGCTTGAACCCAGGGGCGGAGGTTGCAGTGAGCCGATATCATGCCACTGTACTCCAGCCTGGGCCATGGAATGAGGCACCATCTCAAAAAACAACAACAAAAAAAAAAACAAAACGAAAACTAGTCCATGCAGCCTTTCTTTACAAAGAAAAGTAGATTAGTGTTTCCCACACCTGACTGACCACTGGAAATGCCAAGTAAGCTTTCCCAAAAGACATTCTAATTCATTACCGTTGGAGTATGTGCCTCAGAATCTGTGTTGTAAAATCTTCCCTAGTGGTTCTATGACAAGTAAGTTTGGTAACTACAGGTACACATTCAAACACTAACTTGAATGTTCTCCATGGAACGTCTAGCACAATGCTTGGCATAAAGTAGACAATATTAACTGAACAAGTAAAACAATGAAAAATGGAAGTTGCTGATAAAGGTGCAGTACTATCTTATTTTAAGGTCATTAATTCTACTCACCTTTTTTAGAGCTTCATGAAGTTCATTTAGGACATAAATCAAGAATTCCTGACCGTCTTGTTGTGTCTTTTTCGTAAATTTTGGGTAGAGTTTGCCAAGAGCTGATAGGAATATTTCTGTTGAGACACAGTCTGAGTCTCCAAGCCACATGTCTGTCATCAGGTAGGCAAAAGCCATGGCAACCTCACTGCAATCGCTTGGAAGAAGAAAGGGATATGATTCTGGCTGATTTAATGAAAAGAAGGCACATAATCACCCAGGCCTGGGAAGTTAGTACCAAAATGAAAAGTGTGGTGTCTCACACCTGTAACCCCAGCACTTGGGGAGGCCAATGCAGGAGGATTGCTTGAGCTCCCAGAAGGTCGAGGTTGCAGTGAGCTGTGTCAATACCACTACTTCACTCCAGCCTGGGTGACAGAACAAGACTCTGTTTAAAAGAAAAAAAAGGGCCAGGTGAGGTGGCTAACACCTGTGATCCCAGCACTTTGGGAGGCCGAGGCAGGAGGATCACCTGAGGTCAAGAGTTCAAGACCAGCCCGGCCAACATGGAGAAACCCCATCTCTACTAAAAATATCTAAAAAATTAGCCGGGTGTTGTGGCAGTCACCTGCAATCCCAGCTACTCAGGAGGCTGATCAACAGAATTGCTTAAATCCAGGAGTCAGAGGTTGCAGTGAGCCAAAATTGCCATTGCACTCCAGCCTGCGTGACAGAGAGGGACTTCATCTCAAAAAAAAAAAAAAAAAGAGGACCAGACTCAGTGGCTAACACCTGTAATCCCAGCACTTTGGGAGGCTGAGGTGGTGGGTCGGGATGGGGGCGGGGATCACCTGAGATCAGGAGTTCGAGAGCAGCCTGGCCAACATGGTGAAACCTCGTCTCTACTAAAATACAAAAAAATGTTAGCGGGGCATGGTGGCATGTGCCTGTAATCCCAGCTACTCAGGAGGCTGAGGCAGGAGAGTGGCTTGAACCCGAGCAGCAGAGGTTGCAGGAATCTGAGATTGCGCCACTGCACTCCAGCCTGGGCAACAGAAAGAGACCCCGTTTTTCAAAAAAAAAAAAAAAAAAAAGGGAGCTGCATTCATTTCTTGGTTGCCCTTCACACTTTTACTACTTTTACTTACCCTAGCATGTTACCTGGGAAGACACAACCTCTACTGACCTGTTTAGCCCTTACTGGGGATTCCAGAGTTCCTTCTCTAACCTCACCTGTACGTGGGTTTAGGGCTGGGCTGCAGGGAATGCAGATGGTCTTACTTTTGAAGAGCAGTGATGTACTTTCCAGAGAGGAAGTATTCTACCAGTGGCGAGATGCTTCAGAGACACTGTAAGATGGCATTCATGTAGCATGTGTTGCCCAAGTTCCTCAGGCCAGTGACTCCCTGAAAATGGGGCTGGTTCCCATCAGCCTCCTTAACTGGAAGGGTATCATAGTAATCTGTGCACTCTGTGCTGTGTTGGTGCCACATGGAAAGAAAGGGTTTTGAGAGAACAAAGTATGTACAAATGACAATAAGCCTCTCCTACCATTATGAAATAAAGAAGAGTTCTTAATAAGACTTCCTCCAAACACATTTCCTACCAAGGACAGAATTATTGGTACTTGGAGTCTAAAAATGCATTATGGCAGAGCATGGTGGTTCGCACCTGTAATCCCAGCCCTTTGGGAGGCCGAGGTGGGAGGATTGCTTGAGGCCAGGAGTTTGAGACCAGCCAGGGTCACATAGTGAGAACTTGTCTCTATTAAATAAATTAAATTAAATTAAAAATAAAATTACATTACTCAGACCAGAACCCTGAACAAGTGTCTGAAGCCAAAAAAGACAGATAAAAAGTTCTTTCTAAAACCAAAGCAAGACAAGAGACAACTTGCTGGGCAAGTAATTAAATACAGTTAATAAAACAATAGCTATCAGGTCATGAGCATGGCACTATTTAAGTACTTAACATGCATTTTCCCATTAAATCTTTCAACAATTGTGTAAGGTAGGAACAATTATTTTTATATTCCATTTTACAGATGAGATATCAGGTTTAAGTGATTTAGTCATGGGGTGTGTGGTGGTAATGTAGAAAAAAGAAATATCTACCTACCTGTTTACCTCCCTCCCTCTCTCCCAATGTACCTATTTGGATTTATGTATAGTAAGATTGTCTATATATATGTGATGTATATATGTGTATATTTGTGTATATACGCATATATGGTATATATATTGAAAGCATAATATATACACATATTAAGAGCATGCATATACATATCTTAAGAGCACATATATACATATATATGTATGTATATAGCTATTTACATATAAACACACACATACATACATACATGGGGAGGAGAGAGAAAGAGCATAGACTTTGTAAAAATATAGATCTTGCCGGGTGCAGTGGCTCACGCCTGTAATCCTAGCACTTTGGGAGGCCGAGGTGGGTGGATCTCCTGAGGTCAGGAGTTCAAGACCAGCCTAGCCATCATGGTGAAACCCCATCTTAAAATATACATATATTTTAAGATATATATATATATATAAAGATATATCTATATATATAAGATATATCTATATATATATTTATCTAAATATATAAGATATATCTATATATATATGCTATATCTATCTATATATATAAGATATATATATCTATATATATCTTAGTTTAAATCCCAACTATGCCATTTACTAGTATTAGGATCTGGGATTCTATACCTGTTCCTCATCTATAAGAAAGGAATAATGCCATCTGCCTTATAGGATGGTTGTGAGGATTACGCAGGTATCATGAAAGGTATTTGGCACAGATTAGTCAATAAATGATAACTTTAAAACTTTTTTATTTTTAATTTACTTTTCTTTCTTTTTTTTAAATTTGATCTCATGAGAACCTAACTTAAAAATTTTTTTTAAGTTACTGGTCTAGGATGTCCTTCTCAGTAAGCTCCAGGATTAGAGTGTTCATGTGAATCGGTCAGACCTGCCTGCACAGAGAGAACACTGAGGGTTCTGAAGGGGGCCTCCTTTCCCTGCACAGAGCTTCCTTTTGTAATTTTTTGTATTGTGCCAGGCAGCCCAGTATCTTTGTCCTCTTGAATTTTTCTTTCCACATATTGTATCTAAAGTTGGGGCTCCATGAGACAGTGACCTCCCTCATACATACTTTTAAGTACAGTTACGCCAGTTTGAAAGTGTTCATTGTTACAAAAATGGTCATTTTCACTTTTTTTTTTTTTTTTTTCTGAGAAAGAGTCTTCTGTCACCCAGGCTGGAGTGCAGTGGAGTGATCTCGGCTCACTGCAACCTCCATCTTCCTGATTCAAGCAATTCCCCTGCCTCAGCCTCCTGAGTAGCTGGGATTACAGGTGCATGCCATCATGCCTGGCTAATTTTTTTGCATTTTTAGTAGAGACAGGGTTTCACGATGTTGGTCAGGCTGGTCTCGCACTCTTGACCTCGTGATCCATCCGACCCGGCTTCCCCAAGTGCTGGGATTACAGGCGTGAGCCACCGCGCCCGGCCATTTTCACTTTTACTCACTGGTATCACAGGAGGTTCTAGACTGTCACCTTTCAGGAAGGACCTGTATTTATTGCCAAGATATTAGGCACAATCTTCCCTTCTTTTGAGGGGACGGGAGAACCCTTCTGAATGCAGCATGTGTCCCCTGATTCCTCGGAGCATGACTCTTCCCCACCACTGGGCTTATCTAGAAAGCTGTAATAGGTCAAAGCTCACAGGACATAGTAGATACTGAAGTCATCTGCAGGGGGAGACCACTGGGAAGTCATTTTAATGGAAACTACATTGAATTTTCACTTCTATTCTGGAGCTAAATCTGTTCCTTTCAACTTCATTTCTCTGAGTCTGTTAACGCTGGCTTTTTGTTTTAAACAATTGATATGCTGCTCCCTCTTCCAGAGCTGCAAACTGATTTTCACCTGTATCAAGCACCACTCTAACTTGGATTTTCCATACATCATAATCCTTTCCATCACCTTCAAGATTCTAGCATGTTGCCATGAGACACTGTTACTTGGTTGTCTGAAATATGTAATCCATGACATAAATGGAACCAAAGACAAAAACCACATGATTATCTCAATAGATGCAGAGAAGGCCTTTGACAAAATTCAACAGCCTTCATGCTAAAAACTCTCAATAAACTAGGTATTGACAGAATGTATCATAAAATGATAAAAGCTATATATGACAAACCCACAGCCAATATCATACTGAACGGGCAAAAGCTGGAAGAATTCCCTTTGCAATCAGGCACTAGACAAGGATGCCCTCTCTCACCACTCCTATTCAATGCAGTATTGGAAGTTCTAGCCAGAGCAATCAGGTAAGAAAAAGAAATAAAGGGTATTCAATTAGGAAAGGAGGAAGTCAAATTGTCTCTATTTGCAGATGACATGATTGTATATTTAGAAGACCCCATCGTCTCAGCCCAAAATCTCCTCAAACTGATAAGCAACTTCAGCAAAGTCTCAGGATACAAAATCAATGTGCGGAAATCACAAGCATTTCTATATACCAATAACAGACAAACAGAAAGCCAAATCAAGAACGAACTGCCATTCACAATGGCTACAAAGAGAATAAAATGCCTAGGAATACAACTAACAAAGGATGTAAAGGACCTCTTCAAGGAGAACTACAGACCACTACTCAACAAAATAAGAGAGGACACAAACAGATGGAAAAACATTCCATGCTCATGGTTAGAAAGAATTAATATTGTGGAAATGGCCATACTGCCCAAAGTAATCTATAGATTCAATGCTATCCCCATCAAGCTACCAATGACCTTCTTCAGAATTGGAAAAAAACACTTTAAACTTTATATGGAATCACAAGAGAGCCCGCATAGCCAAGACAATCCTAAGCAAAAAGAACAAAGCCGGAGGCATCACAGTGCTGGCCTTCAAATACTACAAGGCTACAGTAATCAAAACAGCATGGTAGAGAGAGATCCAAGATAGCTGATCACTAGCAGCTCGGGATTGTAGCTCCCAGTGAAAGTGCAGAGAACGGGAGGACGCCACACTTTCAGATGAATTTTTGTTGCTCATGCACCAGGAGATTCTCAGCGGAGGAGCCCTACGAGTCGCCAGCATGACTCTTGTGGCCTGCAAGTCGGTTTTGCCGCTGCCTTGGAGCGGCGGTTCTTGGTGCAGTCAGAAAAACACCATCAATCATAACGCCGCTGTTTTGGCCGGCGCAGTGGGTTGCTCAGATTTTAGCGCTGGGAATCAACAAGTTGGACATCCACTCAGAAACCCAATTATAAAGACGGTAATTATAAAGACCACAGATGGATAAATTTATAACGAAGGGAAGAAAACAGCCTAAAAAGGCTGAGAATACCCAAAATCAGAACGCCTCTCCCTCTACAGGGGATCAGTTCCTCATCAGCAACGGAACAAGTCCTGTTGGAGAACGAGTGTGTTCCATTAACAGAAGCAGCCTTCAAAAGGTGGATGATAAGAAACTTCTGTGAATTAAAAAAACTTGTTCTAACCCAATGCAAAGAAACTAAGAACTTTGAAAAAAGGTTGATCAAATGTTAACAAAAATACACAATTTAGAGAGGAATAAAAGTGAATTAATGGAGCTGAAAAACACAACACGAGAACTTTGCAAACTATGCACAAGTTTTAACAGCCGAATCTATCAAGCAGAAGAAAAGATATCAGAAGTCGAAGACCAACTTAATGAAATAAAACAAGATGACAAGATTAGAGAAAAAAGGATAAAAAGGAACGAGCAAAGTCTCCAAGAAATATGGGACTATGTGAAAAGACCTAATCTACGCTTGATAGGTGTACCTGATTGTGACGAAGAGAATCAATCCAAGCTGGAAAATACGCTTCAGGATATTATTCAGGAAAACTTTCCCAACGTAGCAAGGCAGGACAATATTCAACTCCAGGTAATACAGAGAACGCCACAAAGATATTCCTCAAGAAGACCAACCTCAAAGCACATAATCGCCAGATTCACCAGGGTTGAAATGAAGGACAAAATACTGAGGGCAGCCAGAGAGAAAGGTCAGGTTACCCATAAAGGGAAGCCTATCAGACTCACAGCAGATCTCTCAGCAGAAACCCTACAAGCCAGAAGAGAGTGGGGGCCAATATTCAACATCCTTAAAGAAAAGAACTTTCAACGCAGAATTTTACATCCAGCCAAACTAAGCTTCATAAGCGAAGGAAAAATAAAATCTTTTGTGAACAAGCAAGCACTCAGAGATTTCATCACCACCAGGCCTGCTTTACAAGAGCTTCTGAAAGAACCACTACACATAGAAAGGAACAACCAGTATCAGCCTTTCTAAAAAATACCAAAAAGTAAAAAGCATCAACATAATCAAGAATTTACATCAACTAATAGGCAAAACAGGCAGCTAACATTAAATGGCAGTATTAAACTCACATATATTATTACTAATCCTTTTTTTTTTGAGACGGAGTTTCATTCATGTTACCCAGGCTGGAGTGCAATGGCGCGATCTCGGCTCACCGCAACCTCCACCTCCTGGGTTCAGGCAATTCTCCTGCCTCAACCTCCTGAGTAGCTGGGATTACAGGCATGTGCCACCATGCCCAGGTAATTTTTTGTATTTTTAGTAGAGACAGGGTTTCACCATGTTGACCAGGATGGTCTCGATCTCTTGACCTCGTGATCCACCCGCCTCGGCCTCCCAAAGTGCTGGGATTACAGGCTTGAGCCACCGTGCCCGGCCATATTATTACTAATTCTAAATTTAAATTGACTAAATCCCCCAACCCAAAGAAACAGACAGGAAAAAAGCCAAAACCCATCGGTATGCTGCATCCAGACCCATCTCACATGCAAGGATACACAAAGACTCAAAACAAAGGGATGGAGAAAGATTTACCAACCAAATGGAGAGCAAAAATAAATAAATAAATAAAAAGCAGGAGTTGCTTTAAAGCAACAAAGATCAAAAGAAGCAAAGAAGGATATTACATAATGATAAAAGGATCAATGCAACAAGAAGAGCTAAAGATCCTAAATATAAACACACCTAATACAGGAATACCCAGATATAGAAGACTTATAAAGAGACTTAGACTCCCACACAATAATAGTGGGAGACTTCAACATCAATATTAGACAGATCAATCAGACAGAAAATTAACAACAATATCCAGGATTTGAACTCAGATCCGGAACAAGTAAACTTAATTAACATTTATAGAACTCTCCACTTGAAATACACAAAATATACACTCTTATCAGTACCACATCACATCTATTTACAGGTTTAAATGAAATATTGGTTGGCTGCTTGTTACTTTCTTCCCTCATTTTTTTTTCATGTCTCTATTATTAAGCACAATTATAGGCATACCCATTTTTGACTGCATTCTAGCCCAGGCAATAAAGCAACACCCCCATTCTCTCTCCCTTTTCCTCTTTCTCTTTCTTCCTCTCCTTCATTTTCTTTTAATCCTTTTTTTTTTTCTTTAAAAAAAAAAAAAAACAGCATGGTACTGGTACCAAAGCAGAGACATAGACCAATGGAACAGAACAGAGGCCCCAGAAGCAACGCCACACATCTACAACCATCTGATCTTTGACAAACCTAACAAAAACAAGCAATGGGGAAAGGACTCCATGTTTAACAAATGGTGTTGGGAAAACTGACTAGCAATGTGCAGAAAGCAGAAACTGGACCCCTATGTGTCACCTTACACTTAAATTAACTCCTGATGGATAAAGATTTAAACATAAAACCTAACACCATAAAAACACTAGAAGAAAACGTAGGCAAAACCATCCAGGACATAAGCATAGGCAAGGACTTCATGACTAAAACACCAAAACCATTGGCAATAAAAGCCAAGATAGACAAATGGGATCTAATTAAAATTCAGAGCTCTGTACAGCAAAAGAAACCATGATTAGAGCGAATTGGCAACCAACAGAATGGGAAAAAATTTTTGCAATCTACCCATCTGACAAAGAGCTAATATCCAGAATCTACAAAGAACTAAAATAGATATACAAGAAAAAAATCAACAACCCCATACAAAAGTGGGTGAAGGATATGAACAGACACTTTTCAAAAGAAGACATATATGAGGCCAACAAACATGAAAAAATGCTGACCATCACTGGTCATTAGAGAAATGCAAATCAAAACTACATTGAGATACCATCTCATGCCAGTTAGAATGGTGATCATTAAAAAATCTGGAGACAACAGACGCTGGAGAGGATGTGGAGAAATAGGAACACTCTTACACAGTTAGTGGGAGTTCAACCATTGTGGAAGACAGTGTGGTGACTCCTCAAGGATCTAGAAATAAAAATTCCATTTGACCCAGCAATCCCATTACTGTGTATATACACAAAGAACTATAAATCATTTTACTATAAAGACACATGCACACGTATGTTCATTGCAGCCCTATGTACAATAGCAAAGACCTGGAGCCAACCCAAATGCCCATCAATGATAGACTGGACAAAGAAAATATGGTACATATACACTATGGAATACTACGCAGCCATAAAAATGAGTTTGTGTCCTTTGTAGGGATTTGGATGAATCCGGAAACCATCATTCTGAGCAGACTGACACAAGAACAGAAAGCCAAACACCTCATGTTCTCATTCATAGGTGGGTGTTGAACAATGAGAACATGTGGATTCAGGGAGAGGAGCATCACACACTGGGGGCAGTTGGGGAGGTAGGGGAGAGACAGCGGGGGGTGGGGAGGGAGGGGAAGGTGGGGAGGGACAACATGGGGAGAAATGCCAGATACAGTATGTACCTAAAGTAAAATTAATTAATTAATTATTTTAAAAAAAGAAATGACCACTCCAAAACAAAAACAAAAAAAAGATTAGGCTCCAGAGCGGGGCATGGTGGTTCACACCTGTAATCCCAGCACTTTGGGAGGCCAATGCGGGTGGATCACAAGGTCAGGAATTTGAGACCAGTCTGGCCAACATGGTGAAACCCATCTCTAATAAAAATACAAAAATTAGTTGGGCATGGTGGTGGATGCCTGTAATCCCAGCT